ACCACAGCAATGGTCTGTGGTGCGGAAGGGTCGACACATGAAGTACGCGTCCTTCAGGTCGACCGCTGCAAACCAATCTCGGGGACGGATGCACCCGAAGATGCGTTCCTGCGTCAACATCTTGAACGGTAACCGGTGAAGGGCACGGTTCAAGACACGCAGGTCCAAGGGTTCAAGACATGCAGGTCCAAGATTGGTCGTAACCCACTGCCTTTCTTGGGTACAATGAAGTAGGAGCTGTAAAACCCCATCTTCATATCGGCAGGAGGGACCAGCTCTATCGCATCCTTCGCCAGTAGGACTGTGACCTCCGCCCGCAAGACAGGACCATCGGCTGCCTTCACTGTTGTGAAGCGGATGCCACTGAACTTGGGGGGGATGCCGGGCAACTGAATCGCATAGCCGAGCCTGACGGTTCGAAGGAGCCATCGAGACGGGCAGGGTAGCTCACCAGGCTCCCAGACACCGCGCTAGTGGCATCAACGAAACTACAGGCGTACCCGCAGCGCGGGAAAAACGCAGGGACCCGGCCCGGGTGTCTCGTAGCCAGTCCGAGGCGGGGTCTGGTGTGTGTAACACTGACCTGCGTTCGAGCAGAGGGTGCGTGGGTAGTCCGTTGGTTCGTCCTCCCGATCCGCCCACTGCTGTTCACTGGCGAGAGAGGAGGGTGAGTGTGATACGCACTAGGTCGTCCACAACCCCCCGTCCCCTCTGGGGACCCAGAAATAGAGGAATTGCTCTTTGTCGAGAATTTGGGTACCACCGACCGAGAGGTCAATGGTGGAAAAAGAATCTCCGCCCGGCCCTCCTCCGGGGGAGGGAGTGGTGTGCTTACCATCTCCTGAAGAGCACGTCCCTCCACCTCTGGGTCGCCCGTCTCCGGGCCTCTTGCTCTCTCGCTTGCCACCAGGTTTGGTGGGGGCCTGGATGTTTTCCCCAAACATCTGTGTATTTTTGTGATTTTCCAGCACAAATATCTCAACGTCCTTAAATCAAGATGCATTTACTGAAAAAGTCAAATGACTTAATGATATAAAGTCTTGTTTCCTGAAGAATGTATCAAACTTAAGTGAGCTTATCCTTAAAAACAAGACAAAATGTCTGTCAGTGCAGTAAGGAAAACTGAATTCAAAGGAGAAAAAAGATTAGTGTTTTAGCCCATTGACCGATATTTTTCCTCATTTTAATTATAAACTCCCTAAGTTTTGATCATTTTTGGATTCCCAAAATAATAATAAAAAAAATAATAATAATAATTTTCCCCAATTTTTTTATATTCTGTTTTAATGTTTCTCAATTCCTTTTTTTAATTTAATTGATTGTTTTAATTGGTTTTAATTGATTTAAGTGATTCCATTTTAACGGTTAAACTCTGACTGAATTCCGTGTTTTTTGTTGTAATTTCTTTCTCAGTTTTTGTTTAAATGTTTAAATGTAATTTTTAGTAATAAAAAAAAAACATGTTTAATTGATTGAAATCAGGAAACCGATACAATTTAACAACAGCTTATTCAAAGTTTAACAACAATTATAATTTTAGGGCCTTTTGAAATATGTTTTTATTTCTCCTAAATTCCATGTTTTTTTTGTTTTGTTTAAATTTTTTCCCAAATTTTGTAATGAATTTTTATTAATCAAAAGCATCTCTGGTTACTTGAAATCATGAAACTTATACAATTCCTTTTTCTTTTTTTTCTTAAATTCTGTGTTTTTGGTTTTAATAATAATTCTGCTTGTGTTTTGCTCATTGAACCAGATGTACATTTTCACATTTATTTGTTGTATTATATGTAAGTGTTAAATAATCAACTCTTTTGTGTAAAAAAAAAAAAGCATGTCTAATTGAACATAAAACACAGAAATTCATAGGGCATTATTGTAAAAAATGAAATAAATTGCTAAAGTTTTAAGTGCCTTTTTTCTGAAAACTTCAGTCATTTTCCTTCTGAAGTAAATGTATCTCAATTTAAGAATTTTGAGACTTTTTTTGGGCAGTTTGTGGCCAGGATGCTCAGTTTAAGCGTCCCTCTCTCGTGTTTCTCCGCTCAGGATGTTTCCGGAGTCTCTGCGCTGGTTGTTGGTCACTCAACATTACCAAAGAGCCAAGCAACAGATGTACCGCATCGCCCATAGCAACAGCGTCGACACGGCAACCGACGCCAGCAGCATCCTCTCAGGTGAGCAGAGCTGCTGCTGTGAGTGTGCTTTACCTTCTGCGTGAGGAGGATGATGAGGATGATGATGCTTTTGCAGAGCTGGAGACTGAACTGCAGCAGAAGCCGAAGACGTACTGCGTGACGCAGCTGAGCGGCACCAGAAACCTGTGGAAGAACACCGTCGTCCTCTGTGTTAACTCGTGAGTGCTGCGTCACGACCTCTTAAAACACTCCACAGAGATTAGATTAGATTTCATCAGTACTTTCAGATTCATAATCAAAAACTCTAAACTTAAATGACTCTTTTTTTTCTCTAAACTTGTTGCAATGCATTCTGGGATTGATTCTTGAGCGTTACATGTGGTGTTTGTTCACATTTTTGGGAAATCATTTGTCATCTAGATCAGGGGTTTCCCATTTTAGACCCTCAAATATAATCTTCATGCAAAGATCCCTATCTGAACATTTAAAAGGCATCTATATAGTTTCTTCTATGAAGAACCAATTTATACTGTGAAAAAAATACTACTACAGATGATCTCAAATATTATTGTTTCTGTAAAGGTACATTATTGTATTTTTCTTCTCATAGTACAGTACAGTTAGATGTATTATTTGTTTATTTATTTTAAGCAAATTTTATTTTAATTCATAATTTTTATCAAATTTATATATTTATTTTTAGTGTAATTTATATTTATTTTAATAAAATGTTTGTATTTATTTTTAAAATTTGATTAAAATAAAAACGTAGATTTAAAAAAATAAATAAATACATAAAAACTTAGTTTAAAATAAATATTAAAAACTAAATATTAAAATATAAAAAAATACATTATATAAAATATATAAATGCATCAAAATATATTAAAATACATAAAATTAGAGTAAAACAAAAATAGATTAAAACAAATAAATACATAAAAGAAATTGATACATAAAATTAGATAAAAATAAATACATAAATAAAAAATTAATTAAAATGAATACATAAAAATTAGACTAAAATAAATACATAAATAACATTTGATTAAAATAAATAAATAAATACATAAAAATTTGATTCAAATAAAAATTTGATTAAAGTAAAAACATACAAAAATATTAAAATAAATACAAATTTGATTAAAAACTATTGATTAAATTATTTTTGTTTTAATCTATTTTATATAATTATGGATTTATTTATTTTAACATTTTTATTGATTGATTTGATATAAATATTATTTAGCTCTACACTGTAAAAAAGTATTGTAATTTTAACAGTAAAAAAACTCCCAGAATTCCTGCATGACACTTCATATTTGATGTTTTTTTTGTTGAAATGTTTCTTCTTAGTTTTTTTCTTATCAGTTGTGTACACTAGGGTTTAATCTTACATCTAATGTTGTTAAATCAATGTTTCTTGCATTATTTCAGTATCATGTGTGTCACCATGATGGTGTTTAGTGTTTGTGTGAATGGCACTGTGCACCTTCTATATACAGTATGTTATTATTTATTAAAGCTGTTTGTGATGGGCTTTGGTTCATCATGTGACTTTCTCATCACCACTAGTTTTTGGTGGTTATCAGCGTATTACAATGGTTCAGAACAGATATTAACACTTCAGTATGTTGGTTTATTAACATTACATCAGCTAATGAAATACGGTATTTTATTGTGAATTTAAGTTAAGCCTGTAAAACCTAAAATGTTGCTACCATATTTTTTACGGTGAAGTTCTGCCAACCACAGCTGCCGGTATTTTACCGTAAATGTCACAGATTTGTTTTTACAGTGTAGTCTGCTCTCAACACTAAACCAACGGGTCGTTCCCGCTCTCAGGTTGACGGGTTACGGCATCCATCACTGCTTCGCGCGCAGCGTTCTGGAGGGCAGCACGTCTCACCTGCATTATTACGCGTTAGCGGCGATCGCCGTGGCCTCCTGCATGGTGCTGTTCCCGGTGGTGACTGGCTTCGGCAGGAGAGGAGGACTGCTCACTTTCATGATCATCACGGCTCTGGCGTCGCTGCTGCAGCTGGGTTTGCTCAACCGTACGTACAGCACAGCACAGCACATGATGACGGAGACTCTGAGCGCTTACTAACAGCTGTCTTCTCTCTCCTAATACAGTGATCGGGAAGTACAGTATATGGCACGATGCAGGTAATACAACAATATTATGCATTACATGTTATAAAGCACTGTTGTGACAGCAGGGAATAAAGAATGCCAAATTCAAATAATAAAATGCATTTAAATAATCATGCATAGTTAATGCAATACTGTAGCTAACATGAAATTGCAATGAGCAATAACCAGCAGTCAGTGATAATTATTCATGTTAATTTCTGCTAATACATTTCAAACATTCTGAGTTTTACATAATTTTATAAATTGCATTTCGTTGTATTTAAACTAAGGTAATATAAAAACATTTTTAATTTTAATTAATCAATGTATTTATTATAAAGGTCATTTAAAATTATATATTTGTTTTTTAAACAAAAGGTAAATTTGGTCTGGAAACAGGCTACCATATATTATATTTTATATGAATATTCTTTTTTTTTTTATTATATTGTGTATTATCACACCAGTGTTACATGTACATTAGGAGGAAATATTAAAATATTTATAAACCTATAAATTATGACTTAAAATATTAGAGATGTCAATAAACTAAGTAATTGTGAATAATTTTGTGATTTTTATGTTCCTTTTTTTTCCCCCGAGGAAAGTCAGCTGTATGTGTACAGCGCTTTTCAAAAGCATCTTCACAGAAAATCATGATGTTGATGTTAATGTATCTTAATATCTTTATGTCCAATAGTTGCATTTATCAGATTAGATCTGGACGATAATGTAACAATGTAACAATCAAGCAGAAACAAACTTTATAGAAAAAGCTGAAAGAAGAATGGGCTTCATTCATGAATCACGAACACGTATTTCTTTGTAAAGTAAATCACTCCATTTTTACATAAATTGTCACACTGATTTAAATGCAACAAGAACAGCCTGCACTAGACTTTGCAGTGATTTACTGATGTTACTGTATGCTTGGGGAAAGCTGTGTGTATTTATATCTTGTCTATCTGGTCATAGTTCTGCGGGACACGCTGAACCAGCGCTTCTCGTACGCGTTCTCCATCATCGGGATGTTCTCGTCTCATGCTGTCAGCACACTCAGCATCTTCTACTGCGCTGAGATCACGCCGACAGTCATCAGGTCAGCATCTCTGTCTGTCAGCGACATATTTCACCCCAGAAATAACAAAAACACATAGCAATGTATAGTTTTCTTAAAGAAAATTAAACCTATTTTTAGGACCAAAAATATTATTTTAATGTGAATTTTTTTTTTATTGCCAAGCACCGTTGTAGATATACATAAAAAAAATAAAAATAAAAAAAAAGCTTAATTATGAATTAAAAAATATATATATATTCAAAATTATTAATAAGTGTTACAATGCAATGCGATCTTGAGTATTTAAAAAATAAAAAAATTATTTTGATTTTGGCATGAAACATGACCTGGACACGCATTAATGAGATTCACTCAAAAGCGGAGTGCATAAAATTTGCAAGAATTTAAAATTACATTTTTGAATTTAAAATGTGCAAGAGACTGAAACATTGTAAAGCATCAGTGTATTTTTCTGTATTTGACTCTCGCGTGTCATTTTGACCATTAGAATTAAAAGAGAATTTCATACATGTTAATAGTCCATTTGAAGACATTGCACTTGTAAATAAATACCGTTTTTTTTTTATAATTTTTTATTTTCATATTTTAATAACAGGGTTTTATGGAAGCTTGTTGAACTTTTTCTCACAATTTCAACTTTTTGGATCAGAATTGCGAATTTGTGTTACAAACTTTAAAAAGTTGCAAACTTTTAATTGTCAGTTTTGTTTTACAATTCTGACTTTTTTTGAGTTTGCATGTCGCAATTCAGTTTTTTTTAATGCCGCAGAACCAAAAAAAAGTCAATTTTTATCTTATAATTCTGATTTTTTTTTTATCGTGCAATTGCAGTTTATAGCTAATAAAGTTTTAAAAAAATTATATTAATTGCAACTATTTATCTCAGAATTCAGACTATTTATATGCAATTGTGATCTACCAATCCAGAGCACTTTACACTGAGCAGTATTTATTAGTTAATAAAAATACAGCTGTTCATTGTTAGTTTGTTATCTGAGGTTAATTAAATAATATTAATAGATGCGACTTTTGATTTTAATAGTGTATTAGTCAGTTTGTTAATATTCTATTAATAAATATTCTGTTTTAGTTCTGTTAAAGTTTTAGTCATTTTGTTGTTTTTGTCAATTTTATTAGTTTTTGGGGTTTTTAATATATACTTATGAACTTATTTGTTTTAGGTAATTATTTTAAACTAAACGAAAATGAGAAATGTAGTTCCCTTTCATGGGAACTTCGAACTGCGTCCTCTAGGGGTCGCTATGGGGAACGCCTCGACGTGACCCGTGTCTGAAGCATACATTGAAAAAACACCAACTCGTTGGCCGGCGACAGCCATGACATCACTACCGGTGCGACTATAGTATAAATAGGCGCCGGGAGCACACATCATTCTCTTCTTCGTCTTCATTGACTGTTTTGTTTGAAGCGTGCATTTCTGTGGTAAGAGCGATCTCTATTTATCTCATTATGGCGAGCACTAGCAAAGCATTTAAGGATGTGTGCATCCGTGTTGACGTTGTTTAACATCTGATGACACACACGATCTATGCGTTATTTGTTTGGGCGAAGAGCACGCACGCGATGTCTCCAAGGAGGCAATCGGCATGCACTGCGAGTGTTTTTTCCAAGGAAGGGAAAAAAAAACGCCGCTCTCGTTTGTCTCTCTTTTCGAGGAAAGAGGGGCAGCCGTCTGCTTCCCGCGATCCAGGACCCGCCGCTGCTGAGGCACGGAAGGGAATGAGCTCGTGGGGATCACAGGTGGATCTGGCCAAGGAGTTTCCCATTTCGTGATCGTCGGCTGTGCACAAGAGTGAGCCGCTAGAGGATGATGTTATTTCATTAACATTGTCTGATTCAGGGGCCATTGCTATGCTGGGATCAGCCCAGCAAAAGCAGGAAATAGCTGAGGAGGGCAAAGAAGCTGAGGCTGAGCCTTCCCAATCCTCCTGCCCTGCGTATGATGAGCTTTTTATTATACATGAGGCAATGCGCGAAAGCAGTTATGAGAAGATGCCCCTATAGAGAGACACTAGCTAGCTATCTCTCTATGGGTGAGACGTCCTCTAAGTCCTTGACATCTCGCTCGGATGCCAGGGCATACGCAGCAGCAGCAGGTCGGGCTGTCGCTTCATTGCACATGATGGTGATGCTTCAAGCATATCAGGCTGACCGGCTGAAAGACCGGGATAGAAGTCCAGGTCTGAGCCCGAACAACCCAGGGGTCCTAGCCCGTCTTAGTTTGAGGATTAGAGACTGGCTCAGAAGGCTAGTGTCGCGGCTCGCGCTCCTCCCCCACCCACGGGTAGGAAGAATCGCGGGTCAAAGGAAGGTGAGTAAAAGACCTAAGGGATGTGATCCAGACAGGGCGTCAGTGCTTTTGTCCGGATCAGAGTGATACCTCAGTATTTACTCATTTCCTTCGGGGGTCTTACATCTGCCCTTATCTTCACCTTCCTAA